TGCAAGGACCAGTTTCCCTACAATAAAATGATCTTGAGTTACTATTGATGATAATATATACGCATACACACTAAAATTTGGAACTAACTTAATCAGAAACAAGCTAAATATTTTTTTGATTGGGCTTTACCAACGAAATTTGATAACTATTCTGTACGATTTTGAGCAATATTTATGAAACTAAATCTATTAATAAAGGTCCTGTGAAATGTGTGAATACATATATATCTTTTTGGCATTAGTACGTTACACGTGCACTATACAATATACATGCAATGTCTTTTTCTTTGCTTTTCATTCAAACTGTTGGCCCCCACTCTTGGAGGTTCAAGCGCATTGGAAATTGATGCCCTGGAAGTGAACAAGAGTTTAGAAGCATAATCATGCTCAAATCTTATAGACTAGACTCTAGCTATGTATATATGCTTGCAATTTTTATGCTTTTTCATTAATTATTTTTTTATTTACACCATCTTTCTAGCTAATGCCAAAATCAGACCTAGTTTACGTCAAACACAACCTGTCTTTTCCTGTGTTCTAGTCCTTCATTATGCATAACGTGAGTATCTAAAGAGAAATCTTGCAAGCTCTCGGTGCATGGTATAAATAAGGTCTAGAAGATTTCCAATAAGGGTGCTCATTCATTGCACTTTTTGAGTTCTTACGGTATTTTGAATTCAATGACTACGGCAAAGCTCAAATATTTATGTCATTTCAAATTTGCAGCAACTATTTGGTTGGGACTCAGCAAATGTATGTCAAAATATATTGATAGTTCTTATTCAAATATTTTTTAAAATATTAAAAATAAAAAATTGCATTTCTTTTAATAGTGTAATAAGTATCCTTGACAAAATCAAGCAATTTTAAAAATAAGAGGATAAGAATTGCAAAAATGAAAATGAAAAAAGAAATTATGAATTAACTATATTTAAGAGAATTAGAAATGCAATATATAAAATATTAGGATTAACAAAGTAGTTGGAAAAAAAAAAAGAATTGAAGATTATGATACATAAAGATCTAAATTCGATTTTCATCGTCCTCTTAATAATGTTTTTCATTAATAATAAAAAAAAGTAACATATTGAGGCATATAAATCCTAAGAAATGCACAAAAGGGGTATGCATGGCTTTGGGTGATGCATTATTTAGTTGGCAAAAGCATTAATAAAAGCTATGGTCCGACGAAGGTACCTGTGATTCATCACCATCTCCAACGAGTTGCCCTAAATGGGCATGTCTCTCGTATCGTTCCAGAACATTTTCCATGCTGTTACACAAGCAAATAGGAACATTAATAAAACCAATTAAAAGAAGAAAAAAAAAACTTAACTACTCAAAAGTTTATTATTCGATATTCACTATAAAATTACAATATAAATATATAAAAAAATATGTTAGAAAAATTAGAAGGAAAAAAAAAACTGATCGATTTTGCTTTTTGTGACCTCAGCTTAGATAATTAGAAAATCCCTTAACTGGACCTTCTAGGTTTGGGGCAGTGTACACTCCAGTTAACATGTCAGTTTAGGCTATGAACCTAATTCGGCATATTCCCAACATTCTGCAACTTTGACCAATTTACCAAACATGTTGCACTATGAAACCGATTAACCTGATTATTTCGTACAAAACAATAACATCACGACAGGGTAACAATTATCAGATGCCTATTCCATCACATGGCATGCCAAAATAAGGAGCATTCCTG